TATATACTTGTTTCTCCAACAAAATAATCGTGTATGTCAGAATATTATCTTTGCTAAAATTAGATTAATTTTCTCTCCTACAATGTTTTTTTTATAATAAAATTTTTTCTAGATCTAGATTTTACTTTATTTATATATCGCTACATTTTTATGAAACTATAAGTTTATAATTTCCTGTTCATTATTATGCATATCTGTTAAAGTTAACATTACGTTTTTCTCTAAAAACCTTTTTAATTAATTTCAATAAAATATTTAATAATAAATTTCTCCTAGAAATGTGTATAAGCTACATATAATACATATTTATGTTTCCTAGAAATTCTTCCTATGTGGAAACATACTTGGCACGTTTTGTTGGCGGAATATTTTATTAAGCAAACTTAATTTTTTAATAGCACTAAAAAACATCAAAGCTTTAAATATAATTATTTCCGTCTCTTAGTGACAAGCTCTTTGCGAAAAATAATTTTTATTCTTAATCAGAGCGTGAAAATCGCCAATTGCAATCGCGGTTGTCGATGTAACTTATAATTTTCGTGAAAATGAAACTACCGCGCGATGCTGGTAAATTCAGTGAGTGGCAAAGGTGTGTCGCAATATACGATTATATGTTGTATGACCTGTCCGCAATACATTACATCACGTCCGATAAAATTCATTTTGCGGGAAAGACTCATCCCCAACTATTAAATATATATGCACACATACAAAAAAAAAATACATATACATACATTTCTATCATCCCGATTATATCAATTTAACGATTAAAAAAAGTAATTTTTTAAATAAGTTTGGTTTATAGCTAAACACAAAAATATACATTTCTTTTATAATTTACTCTCTCTCATTTTTAAATATAATATTTTAGATATATATATTTCTCAGAACGTGTGTACACAGAAATTTCTTTTAACTTTTGATGTCTTGCAGCTCTTCGCCGCAAGAGTACAATCGAAGCCACAAATAACCAAACTGTTTCCAGTGGAAGGAATAACATATCAAAAACAATTAAATAATACTACGAAGCCCCTGGAAAAATTTTGGGGAAAATTACGCGCCACATACAACTTCATCTTCCGTCAAACCAACAATACGAACAACATAGAAAAGATCCTGGCGAAGGACGCACCAGCTTCTGATTTGCAAGCCCTGAAACTAATCTGGCCCAATTCGTTAAATACAGATAGATATTCAAATCTCCAATATCCCAATAATAGTTTCCTGGATCAAATAAAATCGCTGTCAATACTGAAGAAGTACGAAAATAAAGCAAATTCAAGTAATCTCGAGAAGGAATCGTCCATCAAAATAGCGACAACGGTCAAAGCGAACGAGAGAAACGTGAATTCTATAAGCTCTGACGAAAAGAACTCTAACAAAACAAAGACGCTACCTGACAATGATTGGTTTAACGATATTCAGCCTTTAGAGCAACTGGAACTGCAAGACGAAGAAATAAATAAGAAAAATGAGGTAGAAATCATAACAGCAACAACCACTCAATCTCCGACAAGGGTAGGTCATCAGCTGGTTGAATGGCTTGGATCCCTTTTCAGCCTTACTCATAACATTTATGCAAAATTATCGAGTGCTACTTGCGGAAAAGAAAAGACGCAATAATAATAAACCGACCGAGAAATGAGATGTATAAAATATATTTTTACTTCAGGAATTTAGATTATGTAGAGAAACTACATATATATTAACTCCCTGTTTATAAATCTCTAGATAAGCTGAGCCTAGATACGTAACATGAATATCCAATCATAATTTTCATTTAACCAATATAAAAAAATCGTGTTTAATCTAAACATAGGTTACATTCAATGCTAAACGTGTGTCGATAATATGAGTAAATATAAACGTCGAGTGAAAATTCAGTTTCAATGTAGTATTAATATTAAATGGATAAAGGAAAAGAATAGGGGAGAAAAAGAAGAAGAGAGAACGGTAGAAGAATGAAAATATCATATACGGAGATATCTGAATTTTATACCTTTGTACTACCATCATCCCTTGCATATTTCGTTAAAACAAATCAATTTTATATTAAATAAGAGATTAAATAATACTTTCATAATACTTCGTAAATTCTCAAAGTATGCAACAAATGATGAACATTATACATTTAAACATGGGATGTATCATAGCATTCGCGTCCAAAGAGTTAATTTTAAATATCATGCTAAAGTTCAAATTAAACGTATCAACCTATTCGCATAAGGTTCACAGATAATTTCATCGTACAATATTGCATAAAGCTATATAACACTACTTTATGCGACACAGATTGCGCACGTTCGATGTACTCGTGAGAAGAAATATCCTTGTAATCTTTTATTACACATGTTTTATTCAAAAATATCTTGTTCTGAAAAATACATATGTCATTTTTTAAAATTATTTTTTAGTTATTACTATCGTATAACAATTATCTCGCAGAATAAATGCATAACATCTTGTAACACATATTCACTATTTAAAAAAGTGTTATGTTAAAGACAAGTTACATAAATGCACATTCATTATCTAATAAAAAGATCCATCGTCTTACGTATCTCTAACTAATCTCAATAAAAAATGTAAAAATCGTAGTCCAAAAAAATGTTCAACGCTCTTCTTTTATTTTCTTTTATACATAAATTTTAATCGATAAACTTTATTCGATAAAAACTATTAAATTCTCAGAGGGGAGGTGACTTGCTGAGGATTCCAGCGCGTGAACGATCTAGAATACTGCTATTTTCCACACGCATGTGTGCAGTCTTTGGTTGTATTATTACGTTATGTACGAGAGAGTCTAATATGTTAATACCGTATTTTAATTCTCTTATATCTAACTCATATATGTGCACGCGCACACATACTCGCCTATGTACACGCGCGTAATATCTTAGAGAACTTATACTCTCGATTCTCTTCCGAATATACAGCGCATGGAAGTCCTTCAAGATCTTTCACTCTATCTATGTGTATAAACTAAAATTGGATCATCGAATAGGAGGCGAGTATCATAAAAATATTGCCAAATGTATTTTTTTAGATATCTATTAAATAAACGATAGATAAAGAATACAATATCTAAAAAGACAGCATCTAAAACTTGAAATATAATTTACTTTGTAAATACATAATCACAAATTCGAAAGAGATCGATCATTGTAATTTAATGTAAAACAGATACTTGTCATATTTTTAAATACCAGCCAACATCCGATATCCTCTTGGAACTGTAAAAATCAGCCTTCAAAAAATGTAAAATGAGGGAGTAAAAGGGATAATGAACAATTTGCTTGGAAAAGATGAAAAATGATAGATTCTGGGAAAAGACGCTCTGTGATCGAATAAAAACAAGTCGTTCGAGGCAATGTTGCTTATTTTTTCATGCATATAATAATCAATCAATTTGTCATTTTCATTAAAAGATTATACATTAAAAGATATTGGTTTTTTTTTTAATATATGTCGCAATCTCCATATTATAATAAGATAAAAATTATTCGAGAAATATATATTTGTAAAGAAGAAATATTTTTTTCTCGGCAATTTGGACAAATTGCTGGAAATTTAATGTGTCACAAGTCTCTTCATCAGATCAAATGCCTATATACATATAAATGATTATTTTATCCTGTAAATCGCTAACAAAATTTTTGGCAGTCTATCGTTCATTATTTCTGTTTAACACTAACTTCTGCAACGAATCTTGTGAATTTATCTATATAATATGTATTAGTTTATTAAGATACCAAATTCGCGCGAGTATCTCGTGCTCTTATTATCTTTTCATTGTAAATCAGATTGTCGATATTTTCCCAATATCTAATAAAGAATCAAATTAAATTTCTAATTAGGAATCGAATATATACAACATAAATATTAAAAAGTTTAAATATAGATAGTGCAAAAAATTTAAACTTTTTAATTATGGTACTCGATTGTCAGAAAATACATGATTTTACCTGTAAATTAATTTCTCACGATTCGATGTTCTTTTTATCTCTCGCAATTGTCACAAATTATTTATACGATTTTTGCAAATGCGCTTTACTTATCGCGCTTACAAAATAGTCCAAATTATTTTTAAAGGAAGTAGATTTAATGCAAGCTCAAGCAACCGTTAAGATAAAATGCGATGACAATGGAATTAAGACAATGAAAGTTTTTAGATGATGAATGTGCATTTATGTATATAACTCGTCTTTAATATAACAGTTTTTTGAACAGTGAATGTGTATTTACACGCAAGACTTCAGCATTTATTCTGTGAGATAATTGTTATTGCATAGTATTAAATAAAAGATAACTAAAAAAGTGACATATGTATTTTTCAGAACGAGTTATTTTGAATAAAACATGAGTAATAAAATATGACAAGGCTATTTCTTCTCACGAGTATATCGAACGTGCGCAATTTGCGTAGTGTTATACAGTTTTATGCAATGTTTGTTGTACTATGAAATGGTCATTCGTAAATGTTATGTAAAAAGGTTCATACGTTAGTGTGTGTGTGTGTGTAAACACGACATACATAATTAAATATATTTGTCACACGCGTCAACTTTGCATCAGTAATGCAATAAAAAGTGAAATAATTATGTGCTAAGTATGAGAGTATGAGATAAGTTGTAATTATCTAAATCTATCCTTCTTCATATTTTCTTTTCATCCTCTCCACACATTCTATCATTTTATTTTTACTGTAAGAAAAAAACTTTTACAGGTCTCAAAAAGTTATTGCTGTTTAGTAACTAAAATTATGGCCAGCATTTAATAAAAATATATCTTAAATTATTTTAAATTATTCATTCCTTCTTCGTAAAATTTGTTTTAATATAAATCATGATAATTTAAATTTGCTGAAGAAACGGGTAATATATTAACTGATCCATTACTTTCATCATAATTCTTGAAATTCTAGAAAGGTATTATATATATAAGTTCAAAAGTCTATTTCAAGATTTTTTATAAATTTTGGATAAAATAAGTATTCTAGCACATGAATAGGTAATTATCGAGATAAATTAATGCGTAAAGAAAAATAAATTTATATAATTACACGTTTATCTATCTTATTTAAATCAGATAGAGGACATTACCATTTAACAATTATAACCCATTATTATCGCAATTTATTTTAACGGTTGCTGAGTTTGCATTTCGATTCACTTTGAATATAATTTGGACTATTTCGTGTTAACAAGTAAAGCGCATTTGCCAGAATCACATAAATAACATGTGACATTTATGAAAAATTGAAAAAAAATCGTCGAATCGTGAGAAATTAATTTGCCGATAGAATAACATATTATCTTACAATGGTACGCGCTTTATATACTTAGGCTATTTAATTTTTATGTTGCATACATTTTTATTCAATTATTAGACATTGGGAATATATGTAAAGAAATATATTTGATAATACATGTCGCGATAATATAGAAATATATTTGATAATATATATCGCGTTCACATATATTTATGTCAATTATATTTCTTTTCCTTTACAATAGGCATTCTTTAATATGTACATTTTCAATTCATATTTTGGTTTATTACAACTGCTTCAAACTATAAGTCTCTGGATTTATCATGGTCGCTCAGTATCAAAATATGAATTCAAAAATTGAAATTACTTACTTGCGACGGTTCCGATCATTCTAATGGCTTCGATGGTGCTTGTAAACTATCTTCATTATTTTGCCCATCTATTGCTTTGGGATATGCGCTGATTTCATCTACAACTAAGATGGCATTAAATACCTTGCATTTCCGTTCGTATTGTCGCTCTGTGCTTGTTGAGGCATATTTGCATTTCTTGATATTTGCTCTTTAAGGGAAGAGAACGTATGCAGCAGGGTTGGATTTTTCTGAAGATGCTGCAGAAAAGTGGGATCATGTGCCAGTAAGCCATCCTTTATGATGCAGGTTGCTTCTTGTTTTAGCATCGCTGTAGGATCGGTCCTGTTATCAAATAATCTTGTCGTATCTTTTTGGTTGATATAATAAGAATCTTCCTTGGTTTTATTCTTTCGAATGCCTAAATGCGTTTGTATGTGCTTGTTTAAGTGGTCCTTGCGTGAGAATGCTTTTTGACACATGGTGCAAATAAAATTCTTGTTGCCGGAATGAATAACACAATGTCTCGTTAAATGCTCGTTTCTCTTGAACGCCTTGTGGCATATTATACATTTAAAGGGTCGCTCGTCTGAATGACCACGCATGTGCTGATCTAGATGCTCTTTTCTCTTCAACATGGCACCACATTCTTTGCATTGATACTTGCGTTCCTACAATAAATTGTTCTATTTAATATAATTAGTATAATTAATTCTCTATATAATATATTTAGTATAATTAATTGTTCTTTTTTATATCCCTTTTTTAATAATCTTGTCATCAAAAACCGCATACTCAAACACCAAAGATAATACGGTACATAATACATACTTGTAAATGAGCCTGTATATGTTGTTCGATGTCTGATTTGTCTGGATACCCTAAATTGCACTCTGGACAATAGTAAAGAGTAGTTCCGTCATAACTAATGCTCACTTTAATCTCCCCGATTTTTGCCCTAAATTTCGACTTCTTCTCAATTTTTGGCAAATCGGTTTGTACTTGTTGCTCTACTTTGAGGACAGTTTGCAAATTGCTTTCATTCTCTTGTTGCTCATTTTGTAGATTCAGATTGCTCGGATTAATGGCCATCATCTGATCTGAGTTTATAAAGTTGCTACTATTTTGCTGATGAAGACTCCGAACACTCGGTATATTTAAAATATTATTCTGCGTTTGCTCTATTTTTTCTTCTTCTATCTTTTGCTTCTTTGCTTGTTCTGTCTGTAATTTAATCAACTGTTGCAGAGACGTAGCTTGTAATTTCTGAATGTACTCGGTCACTAGTGATGTTTGCTGCTGATTCAATTGAATTTGAGATTCCTATAACAAAAATAAATATATACATGTAATATAAATATATATTATACATATAAGAAAAATAATTAAAAAACTAAGTATTATACCTTCAAGTTTATCTGCTCTCTAGGCTGAACATCTAGCTCTTGCTTTGCAGCATTTGCTTGTGATGTAGAAGGCGAATATATATTACCAATAATAGTCGACGACATGTTATTTGATTGTATACCGAGTATATTATTTGAACTAAAATTCGGAACATTAATCATCTGCTTCATGATTGGATTCTCATACAGATGCGAGATGAGGGATAAATCGCATGAGTCCAAGAATGTAGTTATATCCTACAAATAGAAAATACAGAAATAAAAAAATATTTTACTGCAAAATTACAAGATGAATAAAATAAAAAGAAGAAAGTAACAGAATTTGAAGAAAAACTTGAAAAAAATTACCGGTATCTGCTTCAGAGTCCAATTTCTTAAATTCTTAGGGATAGAAGTTTGCGTTGTTTGAGACTGCACATTTTCATTCGGAGATTCTACATTCTCATCGCTGGTAGAAACATTCAATACCGGACGTAATTCGGAGAATTGCGGCAACGTACGATTGTGTACGTCGCGAGATATCTGATCCTCGGATAAGTCCATGATGTCGCGTGGAATTCGGAGTACGGTGCAATCGCGTGCGTGTTTCTAACCTAAAACGGGCAATCTATCCATCGAGAGGCGATAACGGTCAGGTTGGCCGCATCTCGTGCTGTACGGCCTCGCGATGAATCCGTCGTATGTCACCTGCTATCTATCGTCCTGTGATGCATTAACGCGCGGAATACGCGCACTTTATTGATAATTATTAAAGATCGTACGCAACACACGTACGCGTATGTATATCGCGTCCCGCTCGCACACAATACACCAATACAGTGATGCCAAAATGGAGATTTGCTGGAGCCTCCGTTCTGGCATCGGTGATAAAATAACGGCCGCGTTCAGAGAAAGCGCTCGTATCGTCTTGTCAACACTTGACGTTGATTTGTTGGTTCTAAAAGTAAGAGCCAATCACGTTCGATTGCTACTGCTGAGCGATTTTCTCCGCTGAATGCGGCCAATGGCTACGTTCCTCTTGGTAATCTCAACGCTTGCGAGTATTATCTGTCTCTGTTTAACTTACGGTAAATAACAAGGATAAAATGATTTCACAAGCGTTGCGATCGCCAACTGAAACGTAGCCAATCCCAAGTTCCAATATGGAGATGCGCGCCGTAGAAAATAAAATGTCACACACATGAATGAACAATCGATTCGTAAACCTCTGCTTGAATTAATGTCCGAGCACATAAAGAATGCATGTTTCAAGATTTGGCTAACCTAAAATCTAACGCGTCTCTGTTTTTTTTTATGCAAAGTCCAAAGTGGACGTAAACTTCATGTCGATGGCGATCAATGAGTGTTAAAAGTTTTGGAGCACGTATTAAGTTGTTGGAGAAATCGTGAAAAGAAAAGTGAATAAACATATTATAATTTCCATGAATTTTCATCGCTGATAAATTTGTTGTGCAGTGATTTTGAATAAATATTAAATAAAATAAAAGTTAGGTTATACATTAGGTTAAGAAATCAAATACGATTATATATACTTATATGCATTTATGAAAGAAAATATTAAGGCAAAAGTTGTAATTCATAATATTATGTTTAAATTAATTTTAAATTCACTTGTTTTAATTTATTAACAACTTTGATTACCAATATAGCATATTGTTACGACAATATAACACATTCACATTTTCTAATTTTAATTTAGATATATTAGTATATAAATTGGATTGTTGTAAAAACAGTAAATTGTACAAATAAAATATAATCGGGTATTTGCAATTTTGCTATATATGACGTTAATAATGATAGTTTATCGCAAGTCTTAAACATATGGGAGAGGCATTCAATGATAGCTTAGAAAAGTTGCGCAAGAGAAGTCGAACATTATTAGCACATGTTGATGAAAATTCTAAACGGATTGATGCTGAAGTGAAGAAATTACGTTCGAAAACATTGTAAATGGTTTTTATATATAAGTAAAAATTTTCATATTATTTTGAATAATTTTATTTATATCATCTCTTTGCAGATCTTTGATAAATTGCTGTAATCATACGAGTCAAGGCAGTATAAGAAGAAATACTAATTTATGGAAATTGCGCAATGATTCAAGCGAAATTAATGCTGTTTTAAATCCAGATTACTTTTGTGTCAGTCCTAAACGTACAACTATGTCAGTGCCAAACACGACGTTGCCTGGAAAACTAACACTAACATCTAAAAAACCGCAAGAACAATTTGCACCTAGAAAACCAGTAAAAGAATGTTATTGTAATTATGAAGGGAATAAGAAACACATAAAATCATCATTGAACTCTCAACGCAAACCTGCCTTGCCTTGCCATCATTGTAAAAGCCAACTTGAATTTAAATTAATAAGAGAAACTGAAGATAAGCTTGCACTAACTTCGCCAATTAGCTGTGAAACATTCAGGAGAGTTAAAAAGATCGATTACACGCCTAGATCTCAATTCCTTCGCAATGTACAGAACAAAATCTGCAAATTACAAACTGGAGGTGAGGGAGATTGCTTGCGAACATGTCCGCGATTGTCCAATTATCACAGATTTATGACAAGCCCGAAGATGCAAGATACCATTCTTGACGAAAAACTAACATTGCCAGATGAACACAAGCATGTCGATAAGAAGCAATCATTTCCAGCATCCCTAAGAACGCCTGTAAATTCACTGGCGAGCGAACGAAGCGAATTCGACGATGTCGCCTGCACTTTGAGCAAAGGAATTCGAGTGTCTTCGCGAAAGTTGTCGAAGTCAACATTACGAAAGACTATTAGATCTAAGAGGCAAATACCAAAGTCAAGCGAAAGACCTACCTCGAAATCGCCGACACGAAGTAAAAGAACAACGCAATTGCGCAAACAAGATTGTCCTTGCTGTTGCAGGAACGAACCGAGCAGGGCCGTGAAATTTGACAAAGATGAACATGTACGAATGTACAGTTTGCCGGAATATTGCGAGCAAAGAGACCGGTGCTTGAAGCATGATGATGGTTTTGCAACTGATTCTGTGGACCAAGATGTAGAAGGTTTGAGAAAATTTCGAGAGCAGAATTATTTCGAAACGCATGGCTCGAGTTATACATTGACGTCGTCTAGATCGTCGGGATCTTTGCAACAGTATCTGCTGAACGAACGTCTTTTTCCGGAGTCGGTAGGCAAGATTCATAAGCAAGATTTGATGGTGACGATGCCGCTGTGTGCGACGGTGCAGAAAAAGCGCATCCATTACTTTCCTAAATACGTGGTGCGACAAGAAAAGAATGCCTGCAATACCAATTATAGGCGTAAACGGTGCCAAAGCTGTCCTCTCACCGGTCATGCCATTGATCTTGGAGTCCTGAAGGCCAGACCGCCGCTAAATAGCTTGGCGCTCAAATATCAGAAAAGAGTTCCTTGAAACAATGGCAGCAAACACAGACATGCATATTCTAAAATCTTGTTTTTTATATTTTTATTATATATTCTTAAATCCATATATAGAACAGAATAGCTTTTTTATCTCAAAGATTTGAAAATGTAAATTTTAACACTGATTGTGTCACAATATTTATAGGTGTATTCTCTTTTGTGCTATATATAAAATTTATCTACAATTCATGAATTGATGTAAAAAAACAAGGAAATAAATCATATTATATCTCTGCAAATTACACCAATGCTTATATTAATTACTATGACTAAGAATGTGTATTAAAAATTTATATTTTTTGTTATTCCTTTACATTCCGCGCCTTTTATGAGCTTTTTTTGTTTGCTTACGTATTTTGAAATAAATGGACATAATTAGCACATAACTATTCCCTTTGCATATAATCCGCGATAAATTTTAATAATTATTGTACAATCGTTTAAATAAGCTTAAATAAACGTTTAAATAAACATAATATATTGATATTAAATATGAGAGACAAAGTAAAATTTTATATTAAAGATTTCTTATATTTAACCCGTAGTAACCACACCAGTGCAAATTTGCACCACCTAAAATTTCTTGCTTCTGAATCTTTCAAAATTTCTTGCTTCTGGATCTTTCTATCTGCGTTCTGTAACGGCCTCCCCCCAGTACGACAAATATGTCATTACCCTAGGGTACTAACTTCACAGTGAACCGGCGCCATTTTTTTGAAACCGCTACAGCAGCAGTACCAAAATTTTGAGGAGGTGCTTATTTGCACTAGTGTGGCAGCAGTGTGTGCAAAGTCGGTGCTCGACAAAATAATTAGTTTTGCTTTTTCGTATAATAAACGAGTGGAATTACATTGAATGTAAGTATTTAAGTATATTTTGTTGTTTTTAACATAAAAATTTACAATTTTGTATGATTTTTTACATTTTTAATAAATTTCGGAGCAATATTTTTTTATAAAATCTTGATTATTTTTCTATAAAAATAAATAATTGTTTACATTCAACAGTATTTTAGTCATTTTTTGAAAAAAATTAATACTTTTGTCTAAAAAAAACAAACCATTTACTGATTTTTTCACCTTTCAAATATACCATACTTTCAAACACCCCTAAAAAACCCTTAATATTCTATAATGTTTATAAAATATTTTTTTTTTCCAAAATACAACATTTTAACTATAATTTAAAAAAAACCATTAATTTTTTTCAAATTGAAAAAAATGGCGATTTTTTGGAAAAAAACCGATTTTTTTTTAATTTGATTTTCATTTTGACGTTTTTTCACTATTACACAATTATTTTTTGCGTTCCAGACCATTACCATTGGATTCCTGGGGAATTTTTACCTGAGTAAAATCCGTTTCACGACATCAATATTTTTAACATGAAACTGACTTTTTTTTAACATGAATATTTTTAACATGAAAATATGACAACACTATTAACTCTCAAAAGGATACAGAGAATTTAAATAACATATACGATAGATTAATAAAGGTCGTTTAGTCTTTCTCAGTATCTTAAACAGAGAGGTTGACACAGTGTCATTATGACATAGCGACTTTTTCTCTTTCAACTCTAACTATAACGCAGTTCACTTGATAAGGACCAAAACCATATGGTCGAAACGTTGTGATCACAATCAAACAATAAATTGCCAGTTGGGTCGGATATATACAAACACTCCTTTAATTCTGTATAATGCTTAATCTACATTATAATGCATTAAATATAAGAAACCTTCAATATATAAAATTTGGTCTATCATATTTAATATCAATATATCAAGATTGCTTATTTGATATGTTTATTTAAACGATTATAACTACTAAAATTTATCCGTATTATATACAAAGAGGATTATATGCTAATTATGTCCATTTATTTCAAAATATGTAAGTAAAAAAAAACATAAAAAGCGCGAATGTAAAAGAATAACATAAAATGTAAATTTTTAATGCACTCTTAATTATGTTGATTAATATAAACGTTGATGTAATTTGCATAGAGATATAAGATTTATTTCCTTGTTTTCTTATATCAACAACTAGTAAATTATAGATATTGCGTAGATCTTTTACTAAAGACTTGATTCTCTTATAAAACATTATATCAAGGTTATTGTCACGTTCTCTTTGTAGCATTGAAAGATTATTTTACTCAGTAAAACAGTGGATTATTCATTTTGAATTGGAATAAATAATTTTTTCAAATATTGTGCAATTAAAGTTGAATTGTATATATATGTACATTTGCTGTTTTACAATTTAAAAAATGCTTCTCGGTGAAATAAAAATTAAAAACACATATTCTCTCTCTCTCTTTCTTTCTTTTATCTCTCTCTTTACAATATAATAGAATACCGCGTTAATGAAAATAATCTATTAAAATAATAAAACATAAATTTTTAGTTTTTTTTTTTACGAAAATATATATTGAACTGCAGATGTGCAATAATCTCGATACAATAAACTCACATCAAACTTATCATTTTATTAATCGATTTAATCGATTAATTAATTTTTGTCTTACATCATGAATATCCAGATAGCAAAATGCTAGCAGTATGCCAGCAAATTCAATCGTGACTTTGCAGCAGATTCCGGTCTGTTGTGTCCTCATATTAAGCTTAATTTCTGGCAGCACGGTTTGTGCCGATATAATACAAAACAGAAAAAAATGGAGCATATATATCGAGCGAAGTCTCCCATATCTCAAATATTTAGACGGCAGAAATCAAGCATGGCCTGCCGTTACAACATGACAGAAAGGTAACAAGAATAAAACAATATATCTCATCAATTATTAAAGGCAGAAAAGTAGCAAAAGTCGAGCATAGTCTGCTATCACAATATGATGACAAAAACATGGTAAAGATAAAACATGCCTGCAAAGCACAATTATTAATATAGATGCAATGAAAAACTGAATATTGTAAATATTATTACATAAATGTTTACGATAAATCGTCAGTTATAATTTATTCTCAGTTATAAATATAATATGTAATGCATTCTATATAATAAAAATAATTGGCATAGTTATAAATAATTAAGTAAATCTATAAATTTAAAT